AACAAATGGTGCTGGAATATCTGGGAAAAAAATGAAAACTGGACCCAGACTTTATACCCTTCACAAAAGTAACTCAAATGGATCACAGACCTAAGTGTGAAAGTCAAAACTATAAACTCCTATAAGATAACATAGGAGAAAAGGTAGATGACTGGGTTTATCGGTGACTTTTTACATGCAACACCAGGGCACAATCTATGAAAGATATTAACTGATAAACGGGACTTCATTAAAGTTAAAAATTTCTGCTCTTCAAAACACTGTCAAGAGAATAAAGACAAGCTACAAGACATATCAGATAAAGGACTGTTATCCAATATATACCAACTCAAATTTTAAAAGAGCCAAAGACCTTAACAGAAATCTCATTAAAAAAAAAAAAAGATATACAGAGGGCAAGTAAGCACATAAAAAGATGCTCCACATCATGTTTCTTCAGAGAAATGGTGAGATACCTATTAGAACGGCCAAAATCCAAAACACTGACCACACTGCATGCTGGCAAGTCTGTGGAGCAACAGGAACTCTCCTTCATTGCTGGTGGGAATGCAAAATGGTACAGCCACTTTGGAAGACAGTTTGACGCATTTGGATTTTTTTCTGCCAAAACTATACATACTCTTACCATACGATCCAGCAGTCATACTCCTTGGTGTTTGTGTAAATGAACTGAAAACTTATGTCCACACAAAACTGCACAGAGATGTTTGTAGCAGCTTTATTCATAATTGTCAATAGTTAGAAACAACCAAGACATCCTTGATTAGGAGAATGAGTAAACCTAGACAATGTAATATTATTCAGTACTGAAAAACAAATGAGCTATTAAGCCATGAGAAGACATGGGAAAAACTTAAATGCATATTGCTAAGCGAAAGAAGCCAATCTGAAAAGACTATGATTCCAACTATGTGACATTCTGGAAAAGGCAAAATTACGGGGGCAGTAAAGAAGATGAGTGGTTCGGGGTTAGGAGGGAGGAAGGGATGACTAGGTGGGGCACAGAGGATTTTTAGGGCAGTGAAAATATCCTGTGATACATGTCATTATCCATCTGTCCAAGTCCACAGAATGCACACCAAGAGTGAACCCTAATGAAAACTATGGGCTCTGGATGACAATTACGTGTGTCAGTGTAGGTTCATCAGCTGTCACCAATGTTCCACTCTGGGGGGGATGCTAACGGAGGGGAGGCCATGCATGTGTGGGGACAGGGGCCTGTAGGGACTCTGTAATTGTTCCTCAGTTTTGCTGTGAATCTAAACTGCTCTAAAAAATAAAATCTGCCCTGGCAGGTTTGGCTCAGGGGATGGAGCGTCAGCCTGCGGACTGAAGGGTTCCGGGTTCGATTCCAGTCAAGGGCATGTACCTTGGTTGCGGGCACATCCCTAGTGGGGAGTGTGCAGGAGGCAGCTGATCAATGTTTCTCTCCCATCGATGTTTCTAACTCTCTATCCTTCTCCCTTCCTCTCTGTAAAAAATCAATAAAATATATTTTAAAAAATAAATAAATAAAATAAAATCTATTTTTAAAAAAGCAACGACTTCACAAAGTTTCTTTTAAAAGAAAGTTTCCAAGAACTTAACATGTTTCCATTTGAAAGGGCCCCCAGGGTGTCTTCCATCATAGATGAAAACACACAGCACATCATTGCAAAATCGGGAACATGGGGACCAGGAAAATTTCCTACAATTTCCAGAGAGAGAGAGAATTAGAATAGGCCTGGATTCAAAAAAACCTTTGCACTTCTGAACAGCAGTATTGGAACTTAGGAGGCAACAGCACAGGCATTCAAGATTCTGAAAGAAAATTACTTCCTGCCTGAAATTCTATGTTTATTAGAATGTGTCCTGGGATGCAAAGAACAGGGAAGTCAGATAAGAGAGAGGCGAAGGAACCCCAGGGCGGTGGTGACCGCTGTGTAGAAGGGTCAGAGGGCAGCTGTCCCTGTCACGGCAGGGGCGCAGGCCCTGAGGAAGACTACTTAGGAAGATGACATTGTGAGAATAACTCACTCACCCAAGTCTCTTGAGAAGAGATTTATTAGGTGGCCCAGAATGTAAGGTTAAAGGACTGATTTGAACATAGAAAACTAAGCCAATGGAAAAGCAAGATTTTTTTTAAAAAGTTTTTCTATGGTATATTTTTGTATTTTTTTCTTTTATTGAACTTATTGGGGTGACACTGGTTAACAAAATTGTACATGTTTCAGGTGCAAGACAATTTTTAATTTCAGAGGAAATGAGTTTTGAGGGAAAATAAAAATAATCATCATTAACCATGTGTCAGCAATGAATATGTTAGCATAATTATGTAAATGGTAGACAAGGCTTTTGACCGACTGAAAGTATGATTTATGTATATTGGGGAAAGGGAGTCTATTGGCGTAACACTAAATAGGTTAGGACAGGTAAGCGAAGAGTAACTGTTGTAAGCTAGTTTCTAAAGGCCCAAGTCTGTAAAGGCGACGTGTGTTAGCATAAAATTTTGTAGTTACATCAATATTGAGTAAATTTGTTCATATGTTAAATTTTAATTTCCCGGTTTCAATGGAATGTGAATTCACATTTACAAATGCTGAGGTAGTTTAAGAATCTAAAGTGAGGTTTGAATAGTATTGAGCACTGTCTTGCTGCAGTTATTGTATCTAAATTCTAGGAAAAATAAATTGATGCTGGAAGTTGAAGAAAAAAAAAAGGTAGTAGGGAGCCCAAGCTTCATGGGCAGGGAGCGTGGTAAAGGTAGCCCATTAATGATTCTCTCTGACCATCTCTCTCTCTCTCTCTCCCTTCCTCTCTGAAATACACACACTCTCTCTAGGGAAACAAAGAGGGCAGCCAGTGTCTGACTCACAGGTGTGCAGAAATGCAAGAGAACAATGGAGAACTGATTCTCAAAACTGCTGTTATTCATCATCAACCTCCTTGAATTATTTTTTAAAATTTGCATGCACATAAAACTTCCGTAAAAATACAAACCTAAGATATTCTAAATGATTCAGACAACTCATCTAACCCCCACTCCTACCGACTAGGCACATTTTCTTTCCAACGGAGACCCACAGTTGAAGACAATTGGAAAAGGAAGTTTTCTGAAACCTTGCCCAGGGAGGGCTGGTGGGGGTGGGCGGGGCTGAGCGCTGGGCTGCCCCTGACCGGACCCAGCGGCTGCCAAGTGCCGGAAGCAGCCCTTCTGTACTTTGTGTTGAATGGAGCCCCGCAGAAAGTCAAGAAATAGCAACACAGTCGGCTGGCCAGCGGGGCTCAGCTCCCGGGCCTGGGTGGCGGGACAGGAGGAGGGCGGGCGTACCAGCCGCTTATCAGCCCCATCTCCCATTACATAAGGCCGCGCCCCTATCTCCCCGGCATCGCCGCCAGCGCAGGGCCAGCGCATCTTCTCCCACACACAGCAGCCTGCCCACCGCTCCCCGCCTGGGTTCGGCTGGTCCTGGGGAGTAGGCAGGCGTTGACTCATTCTGACAGGGCTCCCCGGGACTTGCACAGCCCAGGGTGGTTCCCCAAACCTTCCCCCATCCAAGACCCCAGGCAAAGATGCCCCTGGAAGAATCGGAGGCCCACAGAGGGGTCACACAGCCAGGGAGCAGCACTCCAGGCACTGGGAGCGGGGAGAGGGGTGGGTGGGGAGGGGGTACGCGAGCTGCAGGGGCTGCCTTCCGTCAGGGCGGGCAGTTGGGTGGGAGCTTAGGGTTTGGACAGAAGAGATGGTGGGACAATGTTGCCTGTGGGAGGAGAGGGGGTAAGGCTGGGAGGCTGCAGAGCGGGAGAGAAGCTCCTGCATCCCTAAAGGCCCTTTTGAGGAGATTGGGCCCCACAGGGCAGAGGGGGTGACAGGGAGCCTGAGCAAGAAGGCAGAGAGGGGGCTGGAGGGGGAGGCACTGGCTTAGGGGAGGGAGGAAGTGGGTGAGAGGGTTTGACATCAGCACACAATAGGCAAATGCTGCTGTCTCTGTTGTGGGGGTTTCTGGAGGAGTTCTAGAGAAATGAGGGAAGGGCAGGAAACAGCTACGTGCCAGGGTCCCTGCAGGGGGTGGGCTGTGCCAGGGACCCAGGAGCGGGCTTCACTGTGCAGAAGGGAAACGAGGTCCGCAGAGGGCACGGCTTGGTTTCCACAGAGGCTGGTGGGCAGAGGTGGGCAGTCCACTCCCTGACCTCGGACTGACCGGAGCAGTGAGGTCGCCCAGCAGGACGGGCCCACACTGAAGGCTGGGCAGGGCTCCCAGTGTCCAGGTGGCCTGTGCTCCCGTCAAAGCCACGTGGAAAAGGGACGGTCCAGAGGGTCTGCCTGGATCTGTTGGTGGAGACCCGGAATCTGGACTTTTAAAACCCCTCACACAGCGGGGCTGCTGGGAACCAGGAGGCCCTGAGGAGTGGATCTCACTCCGCTCCTGTCCTGTCTGTACTTTGTATCCGAAGCAAGCATCCCTTCGGGAATGCAAAGACCACTTCATTGGAAAATAAACCCCCAATTCCCCATATCCGGGGGACTGGGGTCCTAGCACTGTCCGCCAAGCACACGCCCCTTTGGTGGCCCAAAGGGGTCTGAGGGCAGGAGTCGGGCAGGCCCTCGGGTGGCCACCAGGCAGGACCACTGGTGCCCCAGCAGCATGGCTGACCCGGCCCCCCAGGCCCTCTCACCTGCCCCCCGGGCCCTCCTCACCTGCCCCCCAGGAGAAAACCCACCAGATCTTGGAAACTGCCCAGACCACTGTCATTAGTAAGTCCACAAGAAATCAAACACTTTCCTTTATGCGATGCTGGATTTTCCACAAAGTAAAAAATCAAGATAAGTAAATTGTGGTTTCTAGATAGTGGCTGACAACGTGGGGACCAGGATGTGAGGCGTCGTCACCTTGGGCCTATAAAAGCTGCCACGGGAGACCAAGGCCACAAGCGCTCAGCTCGGGCCAGCCTGCGCGTCTGCTCTGCTCCTGCTCTGCTCCTGCTCCTGCTCCCACAACTGCTGGTCTACTCGGGACTCCATGGCGCTCTGGCTGACCCTGGTCATTGTTCTCACCTGCTTTGGTGGCCTCGCCTCCCCGGGCCCTGTGCGTCCCCTCACGGTCGTCAAAGAGCTCATTGAGGAGCTGGACAACATCACGCAGAAGGTGAGTGCTGGTGCTGGTGCTGGTGCTGGTGCTGGACTCTCAGAATCGGTCATGGTCTGGGCCATGAAGGCTGGGCCTGGCGCTTAGATGCCCGTGGGTCAGGAAGAAGCCCCACGGGTCAGGGGCCGGGTCCGAGGGAGAGAGAGGGGCCAGGCTGGGGTGCCGCAGAATGGGTGGACCCATGAAGAGATTTGGCAGAGCCCCAGGGACCGCCTGTTCCCTGGCCTGGCCCTGCCTGCCTCGCAAGCGCCTACCCAGCCGTTCCTGATCAGAGAAAAGCAGAGAAGGGCCAGCGCCCGCTCAGAACCACTTGGCATTTGCCAACGGGATCTGAATGCAGTCGTGGGGCTGTTATTCCGAGCCTCCTCGTTGAGCCCATCCTTGTGGAAGGTTCGCTGGCAGGGGCAGGTCCTCTCCTGGTGGTGGCAGCTCACGCTTTCTGAGCGCTGATCATGTGCCAGGCCTGGGGCTGGGGCTCACGTCTCAGTTCATCCCTGTCAGCCACCTCGAGAGGCAGGTCTGATGACCCCGTTTTACTGACTGGGCCTCAGTGCACTTACTTCACAACAAACAGATTCAACAGAGAGTGCCATGCTCTGAACTGCGGCGTCCACAAGGCAGGGTAGATCCCCACCGCCTCCATCTGCATGGCCCGGCCGCCTCACCTGCCGGCCCCCTAGTGGCCTGCCGGCGTCTTCTGCCCTCCGTCCTGGCTGTGGCGAGCGCCACACAAGGCAAAAGCCCGCTTTTTTGGAAAAATAAGCGGTGGCAAGCGTCCCTTAGTGGTTGTGTCATTCAGTTTTTCTCCCTCCAAGGCCCCTGGAGAATGGGTCTCCCCGATGTGCAGAGAAGAAACTGGGGTTCAGGAACATTGAGGTGGCCAGGCCTGCCTCAGTGCGACACCGGGGGTGCTTGTGGGACTGATCCCCACTGAGACCTGCCTGGGCCCCGCCAGCACTCGCTTACTGTCCTTTGCTCCCCCAGGCCCCGCTCTGCAATGGCAGCATGGTGTGGAGTGTCAACCTGACAGCTGGCTCGGTAAGGACCCCTTGGGCACCAGGACCCCAAGGCCTTCCCGCTCACAGGGCTTGGGGGGCTCTAGGCAAGCTTAAAGAGCTGCCCCCTCCCTCCCTCCCCCCAACCCCCCCTCCACCAGACCTCTCAGCACCCCCTGGCCACGCACTGAAGGTATGAGGCTGGGGTTGCCCACAGG